CTGACCAGCTCTTGTATCATGTCTGCAGTCTCTTGTATTATGTCCGCAGTCTCTGACCATCTCTTGTACTATGTCCACAGTCTCTGACAGTCTCTTGTGTCATGAGTAAGTAATGATCACTCGGCACACCCTAAAATAAGTGAAATAACCACTATAATCCTCCCTAAAGAAAAGTAACACTTTCACCCTTGAAAGCGGATACAATGATAAACCATTTCCTTCACCTATATTCCAAAATCCATATGTGAAATAGAATCACTCATATCGATATACCCTATTCCAATCAAATCAAATAAATGCTCCAAAATATACAAAACATGTAATAATAACATAAATAAAATTAAAGTAAAATAAAATAAGATAATAATGTCCAAAAGTAATAAAAAGTACAATCAATCAATAGTCCACCAAAAAATATCTCAATCCAGTGTGTTGAATTTCCAATTTTTCTCCCAAACTTTGTGATACCTCGAAAAAATAAAAGCTACAATAGTGTATTACCTTCTAAATATCAAATCTATATAAATACCTTAAACGTATGTATATACTATGTCAGTGCAAACAATAAACAAGTGCACCAAAAAATATGGTCAGATTCAACTGTGAGTGACACGTGAATCATGCAAAAATCATTCCGTGTACACTCCAACAATAAGTGAAAATAGTGTATACTCCAAACAAACACAAAAAAAAAAAAATTAAAATTGTATAAAATATTAAAAGATCTAAATACAAAAACTGACAGATAAATAAAGTGGGACAAAACAAATATAATATAAATATATTAGTGAGAACTCCAATTAATACAGTGAACACTCCGTAACCACCTCCAAATAGTGAGATTGAATACAATTACCCTCAGGGAGAAAAACAAAACCAGAAGTGTCAGCGCAGCCATTTTGGAAATTGGAAAACGTGGTTTCTTAACCGAGGAAGCTACAGAGGCTGGTTTGTTGGCACAGAGCTGTTTTTTACTTACCTCAATGTAAGATATTATAATAAATAGTTTTTATACTTCAAAATATATACCACATAAGTCACCTTTTTGCTTTATGAGGAATATGGAGGATTGGCACTTAAGTGAATGAAAGCCTGGAAGTGGCTGCTATATTCACCAAGAACATCCAGATAAATTTGTGATTACGCCCTGAGGGTAGTTGTATTCAATCTCACTATTTGGAGGTGGTCATGGAGTGTTCACTGTATTAACTGGAGTGCTCACTAATATATTATTAATTATTAATATATATTTTTGTTTTGTCCCACTTTATCTCATTGACAATTTTTGTATTTAGATGATCTTTTAATATGTTATACAATTTTAATAGTTTTTTTTATTATTTTTTTTTTTTTTTGTGTGTGTGTTTGGAGTCTACACTATTTTCGCGTTATATTCACTTATTGTTGGAGTGTACACGGAATGATTTTTGCATGATTCACGTGTCACTCACAGTTGAATCTGACCATATTTTTTGGTGCACCTATTTATTGTTTGCACTGATATAGTATATACATACGTTTAAGGTATTTATATAGATTTGATTTTTAGAAGGTAATACACTATTGTAGCTTTTATTTTTTCGAGGTATCAAGAGGTTTGGAATAAAAATTGGAAATTCAACACACTGGATTGAGATATTTTTTGGTGGACTATTGATTAAATTTAAATTTTATTTTATTTATGTTATTATTACATATTTTTGTATATTTTGGAGCATTTATTTGATTTGATTGGAATAGGGTATATCGATATGAGTGATTCTATTTCATATATGGATTTTGGAATGTAGGTGAAGGAAAAGGTTTATCATAGTCTCTTGTATCATGTCTGCAGTCTCTAACCATTTCTTGTGCCATGTCTGCAGTCTCTGACCATTTCTTGTGCCATGTCTGCAGTCTCTGACCATTTCTTGTGCCATGTCTGCAGTCTCTGACCATTTCTTGTGCCATGTCTGCAGTCTCTGACCATTTCTTGTGCCATGTCTGCAGTCTCTGACCATTTCTTGTGCCATGTCTGCAGTCTCTGACCATTTCTTGTGCCATGTTGCAGTCCCTGACCATCTCTTGTGCCATGTCTGCAGTCCCTGACCATCTCTTGTACCATGTCTGCAGTCCCTGACCATCTCTTGTGCCATGTCTGCAGTCCCTGACCATCTCTTGTACCATGTCTGCAGTCCCTGACCATCTCTTGTACCATGTCTGCAGTCCCTGACCATCTCTTGTACCATGTCTGCAGTCCCTGACCATCTCTTGTACCATGTCTGCAGTCCTGACCATCTCTTGTATTATGTCCGCAGTCTCTGACCATCTCTTGTGTCATGTCCGCAGTCTCTGACCATCTCTTGTATCATCTCCACAGTCTCTGACCATCTCTTGTATCATCTCCACAGTCTCTGACCATCTCTTGTATCATCTCCACAGTCTCTGACCATCTCTTGTATCATCTCCACAGTCTCTGACCATCTCTTGTATCATGTCCACAGTCTCTGACCATCTCTTGTATCATGTCCACAGTCTCTGACCATCTCTTGTATCATGTCCACAGTCTCTGACCATCTCTTGTATCATCTCCACAGTCTCTGACCATCTCTTGTATCATGTCCACAGTCTCTGACCATCTCTTGTATCATGTCCACAGTCTCTGACCATCTCTTGTATCATGTCCACAGTCTCTGACCATCTCTTGTATCATGTCCGCAGTCTCTGACCATCTCCTGTATCATGTCCGCAGTCTCTGACCATCTCTTTTATCATGTCCGCGGTCTCTGACCATCGCTTGTATCATGTCTGCATTCTCTGACCATCTCCTGTATCATGTCCACAGTCTCTGACCGTCTCTTGTATCATACCCGTACTCGCTTACCCTCTCTTGTATCATGTCCACAGTCTCTGACCATCTCTTGTATCATGTCCATAGTCTCTGACCGTCTCTTGTATCATACCTGTACTCGCTTACCCTCTCTTGTATCATGTCCTCAGTCTCTGACCATCTCTTGTATCATGTCTGTACTCTCTGACCATTTCTTGTATCATGTCTGCACTCTCTAACCATCTTTTGTATCATGTCTGCTGTCTCTGACCATTTCCTGTGTTATGTCCACGGTCTCTGCCATAGTTTTTGACTATATCCTATTTTGTTCCTGCTCTCTCTTCTAATGAATATTCACTGAATCTGATCGATAGATTGACTTCTGTACAACCAGTCTGGTTGGCTGGTCCCTGCTGAACTGGCCGAATTTGATCCAAGTATGGCCAGCTTAACTGGCTGGATCACCAGATGAAAATAAAGTAAAAAAGAAAACGAATACAGCCATCACATTTATGAATTGGTGAGCTGCAATATATTAAATGTTTGCTATATTTTCGGACCCTTCCCTACTCTGTACAAAACTACCAAACTAAGTTTTGGCTGGAGTTGGGTTGTAATAGCGGTCCCGTGTCCTGCTATGACACGTATGCAGTGATGTAGCTGCATAGCCTCTCCAGCCCCCATAGGGACATGCACTCGTTCCTGAAAGTTAATCTAAATGAAAATAGTTTACTTTTGGTTGCTACTGAGCAGATGAGGGCGGAATCCCAGACCATCTCCTTCCAAAATGTTTGTTTCTATTCCCGATGTCAATATGCATGAAGCAGAACATCGTTCACTCCTTGCAGTGTCTCATTGTTGGATGATGCAAGGCGTAGACCATGGGTGGAAGGTGCAGGTGTCACTAGTTGCCGCTCCTAATGGCTGAGTCACGTCAGCTGACATTTGGACGCACAGAAGTCTTAACTCCTTCCCGCCGCCGGACGAATGCAGCTGCACCCTTACATCTGGAGTCCCTTTCTAAAACTCAGCTTGCTGGCAAGTCCGCTTGGCATGTTCTTTTTAGAAAATCATAATATTTACAGAAGCGCAGCTGGCCCTCGCCATTGATGCGAAAACTTTAACAATTAACTGAATACAGCGATCCCCATACAGATTTACCAAAATGAAACTAAAAATCATGAATTGTGTGAACAGCTTAAACATTTTCATCTCATACTTCATCTTTGGACAATTCTATTCAACATTTGGGATGTATTTTTAAAAAAATTTGCATAGCTGTTTGTCTATCGAAACTGCATGTGCGAATGGGGCAAAATCGAATGTTCTCTAGCTATATTCTCTGCAATTCGAAGGTGTGAATACAGAAAACACCTCATTATGGCCACTAGATGGTGCTGACCATCATGGGAAATAAGTACGCTCTTCAGTGCCATTTAGGCCTCGTGCACACAGGATGTTTTAAAAACGCTGCTCCTCTTGGCTGCAGCATTTTGGCAGAAAAACCGCTTGACGCTAGTAAATGTCTAACGCTTTTACAAGCATTTAGGCACATTTGCAGTCATTAAGCGCTTGGGTATTAATTCATTTAATTGGCAAAAATAATAATGTATTCTGGCCATTGAAATTATTAATGCTCAAGTGCTAAACGCGCCTAGCGTTTACATGCGTCAAGTGTTTTTTTGCTGTTCCTAGATGCACTAGCAATGGAGTTTTTTTTTCACAGCTTCTAAAAGCCTATGTGTGCATGGACACATAGAATAACATGGAGGGGCATTTGGAAACTGTAAAAAAAAACGCCTGACATCCCTAAAAGTGGCTGCAAAAATGCCCTGTGTGCATGAGGCCACTAGCCCATGGGACCCCAGGATTTACTTGAAGTTCTGGGACAGTCCCAATCCTGCTATGGTTGGGGGTGAGGTTCTGTGCTCAACAGCAGCTGGCAGAAGCAGCAATCAATATGAGTTTACTGAAGGCACATTTAGTCACACCGCCGCAATTTAAAATTTGTGTGCAATTTCAGCATGATTTCAGGTGCAATTTCTGAAGACTTTATTGCTACTTGTAAAGATTTTCAACGATTTGTTGCAATTTGCAATGCGATTTCTATTACCGTATTTTCCGGCGTATAAGACGACCCCCTACTTTTCCTGCTAAAATGTAGTGTTTGGGCTATACTCGCCGTATAAGACTACCCCTCTTCCAGTGCACACCAGTGGGAGGAATAGTGCTCCATCATTGGTGTCAGTGGGAGGAATAGTGTCCCATCATTGGTGTCAGTGGAAGGAATAGTGCTCCATCATTGGTATCAGTGGGAGGAATAGTGCCCCATCATTGGTATCAGTGGGAGGAATAGTGCCCCATCATTGGTATCATGGGAGGAATAGTGCCCCATCATTGGTATCAGTGGGAGGAATAGTGCCCCATCATTGGTATTAGTGGGAGGAATTGTGCCCCATCATTGGTATCAGTGGGAGGAATAGTGCCCCATCATTGGTGTCAGTGGAGGAATAGTGCCCCATCATTGGTATCAGTGGGAGGAATAGTGCCCCATCATCGGTGTCAGTGGGAGGAATAGTGCCCCATCATTGGTGTCAGTGGGAGGAATAGTGCCCCATCATTGGTGTCAGTGGGAGGAATAGTGCCCCATCATTGGTATCAGTGGGAGGAATAGTGCCCCATCATTGTATTAGTGGGGGAATAGTGCCATCCCGGAAGGAATAGTTTCCCATCATTGGTATCAGTGGGAGGAATAGTGCCCCATCATTGGTATCAGTGGGAGGAATAGTGCCCCATCATTGTATTAGTGGGAGGAATAGTGCCCCATCATTGGTATCAGTGGGAGGAATAGTGCCCCATCATTGGTATTAGTGGGAGGAATAGTGCCCCATCATTGGTATTAGTGGGAGGAATAGTGCCCCATCATTGGTGTCAGAGCGACGAATCGTGCCCCATCATTGGTGTCAGTGGGAGGGAATAGCACCCCATCATTGGTGTCAGTGGGAGGAATAGCACCCCATCATTGGTGTCATTGAGAGGAATCGTGCCCCATCATTGGTATCAGTGGCAGGAATAGTGCCCTATCATTAGTATCAGTGGGAGGAATAGTGCCCCATCTTTGGTGTCAGTGGGGGGAATCGTGCCCCATCATTTGGTATCAGTGGGGGGAATAGTGCCCCATCATTGGTGTCAGCGGGAGGAATAGTGCCCCAACATTGGTGTCAGTGGGAGGAATAGTGCCTCAACATTGGTGTCAGTGGGGGGTGGAATAGTGCCCCATCATTGGTGTCAGTGAGAGGAATAGTGCCCCAACATTGGTGTCAGTGGGAGGAATAGTGTCCCATCATTGGTGTCAGTGGGGGGTGGAATAGTGCCCCATCATTGGTGTCAGTGGGGGCTGGAATAGTGCCCCATCATTGGTGTCAGTGGGGGGTGGAATAGTGCCCCATCATTGGTGTCAGTGGGGGGGGTGGAATAGTGCCCCATCATTGGTGTCAGTGGGGAGGGGGAGGAATAGTGCCCCATCGTTGGTGTCAGTGAGGGGGAGGAATAGTGCCCCAGCGTTGGTGTCAGTTTGAGGAATAATGCCCCATCATTAGTATCAGTGACACCAATGATGGGGCACTATTTCTCCCACTGACACCAATTACACTTGCTGACCGATGTTCTAGTATGGCGCTGCTGCAGCCAGCATATGTGGTTGCAGCAGCACCTCTACACTGCACACTTACCGGCCGCTCTTTCACTCGATTTTCGTGGGGCCGCTCGGCTCCGCCCCCTCATCGGTGATTTCCGCCTGTGTGCCTTTCCTGAGCTACAGTTCTGGCGGCCAATCACTGGTGAGGAGGCGGAGCCGAGCAGCCGCGCGCGAACATCCAGTGGCCGAACTGAAGGAGCAGCCGCGCTTCCTGGACCGGATCGTCGTGGGACCAGATCCAGGTAAGAAACAGCAGCCCCCTGTCCACCCCTGTACTTAGTGTCCCTTCCGTTGGAAGGGGGGGGGGCGGCGGCACCGCGCCCCCCCTAAAAAAGTGTCAGTATTTCCCTTTACCGGCGTATAAGAAGACCCCCGACTTTTGGGAGGATTTTCAAGGGGTAAAAAGTCGTCTTATACACCAGAAAATACGGTATATTTCTATGTATGTGAAATCGCAACAAAACTGCAGAAAAAGTAATGCAAGAACAACTTTAGAAATCACGTTGCAGCAAATACCACATGTTAAGAAACGGACGTTCATATTCATTAGATGCGATTTTGCGCTCGATTTTAATTTGAAAACCGCACTAGTATGACTGGGCACTTAAAGTGTATTTCCAATTTTATTGGGACAATACCTTTTTTATATTTGCTACATGTTCCCATTCATACATTAGCTGAAAAAAATGACTGTTTTAGAGGCTCTTTTCTGAAAACTTCAGAGCTGTAAAATCCTTCTAGTCCTTTTGTTTATGTGGGGCAGGGCAGCTGTGGTTACCATAATTAATCCTGTCTGTAGTGTGCTGGCAGATCTTCATTATCAGTTGTAAACTTGAAGGGAGTACTGTCTGTTCTAACAAAGAATTAAAGGTTTGAAGCTGGGTTTCTCCATTGTATGTTAATGAGATGAAATGCATACTGTCCTTAGGACATACTCACTCTGACATTGTTATGAAATCCTTTGAGTCAGCTATGAGGCCTTCTCCTTTGAAACATCTAAAAGGTAAGAAAGGTTTATTGTTTTTATTTTGTAGATATCCTGTGTGAATGGGAGCGCATAACAAACATATAGTGTTTTTTTTCCCCAAAATGTTGCTGCAAAAAGGTTGAAATACACACTAAGATGGCTGCAGCCTAACTGCTTCCTATACAACACAAAAATGAAGAAAATCTGTGAAATCAGTAGTTCCCTACATGACATTTATTGATTGGGTTTACATACACTTTAATGCTAAGCTATGCAGGTGAAACTCAAAAAATTAGAATATCGTGCAAAAAGTTCATTTATTTCAGTAATGCAACTTAAAAGGTGAAACTAATATATGAGATAGACTCATTACATGCAAAGCAAGATAGTTCAAGCCGTGATTTGTCATCATTGTGATGATTATGGCACTACAGCTCATGAAAACCCCAAATCCACAATCTCAGAAAATTAGAATATTGAGAAAAGGTGCAATATTCTCGGCTCAAAGTGCCCCACTCTAATCAGCTAATTAAGCCATAACACCTGCAAAGGGTTCCTGAGCCTTTAAATGGTCTCTCAGTCTGGTTCAGTTTGAATCACAATCATGGGACAGACTGCTGACCTGACAGTTGTGCAGAAAACCATCATTGACACCCTCCATAAGGAGGGAAAGCCTAAAAAGGTAATTGCAAAAGAAGTTGGATGTTCCCAAAGTGCTGTATCAAAGCACATTAATAGAAAGTTATGTGGAAGGGAAAAGTGTGGAAGAAAAAGGTGCACAAGCAGCAGGGATGACCCCAGCCTGGAGAGGATTGTCAGGAAAAGGCCATTCAAAAGTGTTGGGGACTTTCACAAGGAGTGGACTGAGACTGGAGTCAGTGCATCAAGAGCCACCACACACAGACGGATCCTGGACATGGGCTTCAAATGTCGTATTCCTCTTATCAAGCCGCTCCTGAACTCAAACACCGTCAAAAGCGTCTTACCTGGGCTAAAGAAAAACAGACCTGGTCTGTTGCTCAGTGGTCCAAAGTCCTCTTTTTTGATGAGAGCAACTTTTGCATCTCATTTGGAAACCAAGGACCCAGAGTATGGAGGAAGAATGGAGAGGCACACACTGCAAGATGCTTGTCCAGTGTGAAGTTTCCACAGTCTGTGTGATTTGGGGAGCCATGTCATCTGCTGGTGTTGGTCCACTGTGCTTCATTAAGTCCAGGGTCAATGCAGCCGTCTACCAGGAGATTTTGGAGCACTTCATGCTTCCTTCCACAGACAAGCTTTATGGGGATGCTGACTTCATTTTCCAGCAGGACTTGGCACCTGGCGACACTGCCAAAAGCACCAAAACCTGGTTCAATGACCGTGGGATTACTATGCTTGATTGGCCAGCAAACTTGCCTGACCTGAACCCCATAGAGAATCTATGGGGCATTGCCAAGAGAAAGATGAGAGACATGAGACCAAACAATGCAGAAGAGCTGAAGGCCGCTATTGAAGCATCCTGGTCTTCCATAACACCTCAGCAGTGCCACAGGCTGATAGCTTCCATGCTACGCCGCATTGAGGCAGTAATTGCTGCAAAAGGGGCCCAAACTAAGTACTGAGTACATATACATGCTGTCTAGATACAGCTGGGCTAGGTCCAGGACGACCTGGGCTCAGAGGAAGCTGTGAATGATGCTGGCGAACAGACTGAGGATATCTAACAGCAAAAAAAGTTCAGTGTGGTAAATCTCCTGATTTAAGGTAATAGAAGAACATATCTTTTTATTAGCTTCCCTTAGTCCTCTGTCTAGCAACACTCAGAAAAAGGTAGGTGGGCCAGTTTGGGTTCTACTGCTTTGCACAGTACTGTTAGTGTAATACTGTGAATGTATCTACAGGAAGAGGAGTGCACAAGGATGACTTCATTAACCTTCCAGCCACTTCACTGGCCAGTCAGCAGGCTGGAGGTGTGTTTTTCACCAAGTTTTTCTGCAAAGCTTCAGTGGAGAACAGTAGGGTCACTGTAGGACAGAGAAGAACAGCAGAACAGTAGGGTTCCCATAGGACAGTGAAGAACAGTAGGGTCACTGTAGGACAAGGGAGAACAGTAGGGTCACTGTAGGACAGATGAGAACAGTAGAAGAACAAATAGGGACACCATAGGACAGAGGAGAACAGCACGGTTACTGTAGGACAGATAGAAACAGTAGGAGGACAGTTGGGTCACTGAAGGTCAGATGGGATCAGAAGTTGAACAGTAGGGTCACCATAGGACAGAGGAGACCAGTAAGGTTACCTTAGGACAGGTAGGAAAAGTAGGAGGACGGTAGGGTCATTGATGGACAGATAGGAACAGTACTTGAACAGTAAGGTCACCATAGGACAGAGGAGAACAGTGGGGTCACCGAGGTCAGATGGGATCAGTAGTAGAACAGTAGGGTCACCATAAGACAGAGGAGAACAGTAGGGTTACTGTAGGGCAGTAGGAGGTCAGTAGGGTCACCATAGGACAGAGGAGAACAGTAGGGTTACCGTAGGGCAGATAGGAACAGTAGGAGGTGAGTAGGGTCACCATAGGACAGAGGAGAACAGTAGGGTCACCGTTAGACAAATGGAAAAAGTAGGAGAACAGTGGGGTCGCCATAGGACAGATGAGAACAGTAAGGTTACCTAGGACAGCAGAGAACAGTAGAACAGAAGGGTCGCTGTAGGACAGTGGAAAATAGTGGAAGAACAGTAGGTTCATGTAAGACAGGAAAATAGTAGGGCAATGCAGGACAGAGGAGATCAATAGGGGAACAGTAGGGTCACCAAAGGACAGAAGAGAAAAGTTGGAGAACAGAAGGGTCACTGTAAGACAGTGGTGAACAGTAGGGGAACATTTTGGTCACTGTATGTGTCACCATAGGACAGAGGAGAACAGTAAGGTCACCAATCTGGTTTTGATATCTAGTAAGTCTGCTTCTGGCTAACAAAACCGGCTGAACAGAGCTGCAAATGCTTTAGCACATGGAGCTAATCACCTTCACATATGTATTAAACTGTGTATTAGGTTGTTTGTTTTGGAGATCATCTTTTCAGTAAATGTTTTACAGAGAAAGAAAATAAAATAAGGTACTCGGTTGTCTGGCATGAGATGATGGTTTCATAATTGAGAAACATATCAGCAGCTGGAATGTGAGCCAATAACCCATTGAAATACATTAACAGCGATAACTGTGTGAGCACCAGAAAGAAGTCAGCGAGTTATAAAAAAAAGTCCTGATAGGCTGTAAACAGATCATAATAGAGGCAGACATCTGTTGTTTGTATCCATAGGTATAAAATAAGGTCTCAGTAATAGATTCTAAATGGGGCTTCCCACTCTTACTGTTGAGCACCACAAGACACAGATGTTTAACATGTGTATATTTTTGTGCACTAAAATCAGAGCACATTGAGGTGCGCTAGCTATGTGCGTTAGGGTGCCATTGAAAATTAACTGTGAATTACCCCTCACCCATGCGTTGCGTTAGTGTATGTGTTCTACTGCATTTTACCATAATGTACAGTTCTGAATGGGCTCTAAAAGAATATCTAAAAACGAAAAAAATTATATTTTTGTATCTTACTAGTTCTTAGATGTGCTGGGTGCATTCATTTTTTTTTTTGAGCGGGGGAGCGCTAAATACATTTTCTGCCAGTTGATCCTGCCAGAAATGCAGTGTCTTACTAACTTCCTGTGCACCAAACTGAAATTGTTCTGTTTCCAATGCTGCTTTATGCATTGACGTTAATTCATAGACCTGGTCTGTTTAGACTATATGCTCCCCTGCTGACTTCGCACCATCCACAAGCAATTTAATTCTTCAATGGAACACAGAAGTTGAATTCAACACCATTTTACTTCTCACAAGTGCAGTACAGAGAATGTTTTTCATCTTTTGAAGTG